AAAAATCCAGACTTCAAATTAAATTTTGATTTAAAGCTTTCGGGACTGCAGGGATTCATATTCTTGGTTCTTTCGGTAAAGTCACGATTCTAGAAAAATAATTTCAACTTTTGTAAGTTGGTCGTCAATTTATACCAAATTGTGATTAAATAAATTCTATACAATCTTAAATTTTTAGCCTTTTACGTTAAATTGAACCCGCCATATGACGGGATATTACATTAGTTTTAATGTAGTAGTGCAGTGTTCCTACTACAATATTGTGGAGCGCCACCACATTCGAAACTGTGACTGTGTTTGGCCACATATAGCGAGCACCATACACGCATAGGGGCGCCGCGGTGGCGATATGTCAACTACCTCGCCTGGTATACAGGAGGACGTAGGTTCGATCCCGATCCCGACGCCTGTATATTTGGAGTTTGCATGTCTCTCTCCCCGTGGTCGTGTGGATTTTTCTCCCGGTCCTCCCGTTTTTTCCACTACATATTTAGAAACACGCGTTTAGAGTAAATGGTTGCTATACATGTCCCCTTGATAAGTCACGTCGTTGAGATATCTGACAAATAGCTGCATATCCTGGTGGGGCCTTACCTGGTCAAATTAACATAGTAAACAGTAATAGTTCAAAAAAATGCGATCTAAACGTACCCTTATTCCATACAGCTTCGGAAACACCCATACCAAGAACCTCGCATCACCTTGTCACTGGTGTGTCCGGCATTTGCAAGAGACTGGATTTTACGCACTACTTTGTCTTTGTTTAAAAAGTCGGTGAACATAATTTAAGCAAATTCAATGTAGCACTCCCTTAACATGGCCGCGTCACTCAAAACCTTCTTGTGTTTCAGTAAAATCCGTACATTTCGATAAGAAGCTTCAGCTGCTACAGGTTCCTTGAGTTAAGCACTGCTCCTTTGCAATTCCCCTTATGGATAATCGCTGTACACTACTGTTGTAACATGCATAGCTGTTAACCAATACGGTTTATCCCATATTCTTGTACGTTTCAATACGGGTAAAGCTTTTTTTTGTCTATTTGTTTGTGTCTTCGTTGCGATGGGACTTTGTAGGATGAATTTAAGATTTATAAGGCGCACGGTGTGACCAATAAGGTCTGAATTGGTCTGTAATAAGGTAGGGCACTGATAAGGGGTTGACAGGTATGAAAACGCCTTTGCAGATTTCTCTGTTTCATAATTGACACGGCTTGCTGGCAAATTAAACAGATGGGTTAATTTGATAACTCCCTAAAGAAAACAAACGCATCTTCTCGAGCAGAGTAAAATTGTCACCAGTCATTTTCAGGAGCATCTCTATTTTGTATTTTCATCACCACGTTGTTACGGCCACGTGTAGAGTTGACGACCTGCGGCACTGGGCTCGAACTGCCTTCAGAAATCGCCAGAGACTCACTTGGTGGTTGTATCTTGTCAGCGAGCAGTCTCGATAACTCCTTAAGTTTTGGCTATTGCTCGTTTTTTTGTACGACTTAATAAACCTTCCAAGTTGTCTTTCTTTAAGCGTGCACCAATCCCTTGGCAATCGTGGCTGTTAGGTTCCTGAAAATCCCCGTTGGTTGGCAAGACTTAAGGCTTATGGGAAATAGGGGGTTAGGTTCTGCAGTTGCAGTTAACACTCCGACCGAAGCCCAACAACGCATCCTATACATTCGATAAACGTGAGAAACATGTCCGGTACCGCAATCATGAAAAATACCTTTAATATTGTAGAGATACTCACTTGAAGTAATGTAAGGATACTTACGTGAGAGGAGGTCCCCACGACGGGGTGACGTGATTAGGGAAAGGAGCGAGAAGGCGGGGCGAGAGAGGAAGAGAACGCCCTGGAAAGGGAGATTGACGTCATAGGAAGAGCCTGGTGGGGCTCGGGGCGCTTCTCGGTGGGCATTGGGATTAAGGATGACGGGTTCCACGTGAGAGCGGCACAAATTAATCTCATGGCGGGATCCCGAATAAATTAATAGTAATTATTTAATTTATTTTTTGGCAACTCCGTCACCACCGCGCACATAAACGCTGCGACCCACCAGAAATCAATCCTCTCCTCGTTCTTCACCAAGCAACCGTCTTTGCCAAAATTGCCATAGTCATAAACAAAACTTTGAAACTTTGATTAGGGCATCGTGTAGAGCTCGTCGAGAGGAATAGATTGCCGTATCGTTCGCCTTCAACAGACATAAAATGACGTCACAACACAGTTTATGCAAGAGCCGGGGGCTTAGGTGACCATGGGGTCCCGCCATGAGGCTCAAATAATGGAACGGAGTGTTCGCCCAACTTCTGACTGGTCAACGCTTTACAATATTAATAGTAAACAAATGTGTTTTTAAGTGTGGAGTCCAGATAACGAGAGTGACGATGATGATGACTCTAGATTTGAAGTTTTCGTGACTGCAAGAATCCATACTCTTTGGTTCTTTCGGTAAAGTCACATAGGTAAAAATTACATAAAATTAAAACAAAAATGAAAACTAAATTAAATCACGACGTTTTGGGCACAACACAAGCGTCAGTCATCAGGTGGGGACAACCACAGCGAAAAAACAATCGCTGAAGTATACCAAAGAGATGACTTTGACAAGGGGTTATATAGCTGGGGGGAGAGGAGGGGGGAGGAGCCAGGGTGAGTGTGGGGGCGGGGCGTGGGCCAGAGGAGAGCGGTGAGGATGGTCCAAAAGCTCTCGGCCTACTGCTGTGACACGTTGGGGGTGGGGAGGTTGGGGGAGAACTCTGCAGGCTCGAAGCACTGCACGGCAAATTTTCAAGTGATGGGAGTGAGCAGGGCTGGGAGTAAAAGACTGGAGATGCAGATATGAATATAAACTATAAGGCAGCCAAAGTTAAACTTGGTTAATACCATCCTTCCAATGATTGCTCAATTTGAATCCATCGTCTCGGTTGAAGTTATGTCTATGTATATCTGGATGGCTTCATGGACAAATCTTTGGTGGTATCCAGACGGCTTGCAGAGCACTTTGGTAAAGGAGAAAACAATGTCATGAGAACCCACAGCGTTTTAACAATGATCAGCTACGGCAGAATTATTCATCCTACCGTGTTTCAAATCTGACTTGTGCTCGCGAATGCGGTCAAAAACATGTCGTCTCGTTTCCCCAATGTAAAAATCACCACAAATGCAACTCAGTTTATAGACACCAGGGTACTGTAAGTCAGGAATGACATCTTTCACAGATGAAAGGTTCTTAAAATGGGCCTGTAGCCCCCATCCCCCCCAGCCTCCAGCCCTTGAGGGTCTGAGGTGTCAACCTCCGGTCACGGGCCACCCCGGGGGAGGGTTACCTTTGGTAAACCCCTACACACCTCATTCTCTCTCAGCTGCCCCTGTCGGCATGCGAGCGTGGTGGCAGGTAAAGCAACCTACAGCGCCTTGGTATGGCGCAACCCTTTCAACCGAATCCCACTCATCAAATGCAAGAACAGTTGAAGTGCGTTTAAAAACGTACTTAACTGTAGGTATCTGCATATTGTCCTGTGTCACTCCACAGACCGTGGTTATGCTTCTAAAGAGTTAGAATGAATGCCAAAGGCTCTAACAGCAATGGATAGAGCTGCTCAACCCGAGTTATTATTAATGCTTTGATATTTGCATTGCCTTTGAGCTGTTCGACTTGTCATTGTCCTCTGGTGTAACGATGGTGCAGAGACAGGGAAATACAGCAGGAGGCTGTAGCTCTGTTGTAGACCTATCAGCTGCAAAGACAATGCATGCATTACTTTTATTATAATTATTATCAAAGCACGTTGGTTTGCATGTTCTAGCACAAGCACGATGTGTGGTGCATACATCGTTGACGATGCCTTGCGATACTGTCGATTTGGTGTTTGAACATCTTAACACCCGTTTTGTCTGATCATTGATTAATCATTGCCGGTAAGGGTACAAAACAAGCCTTTTCTTTGATTTAAAGCTTTCGTGACAGCGGCGATTCATATTCTTGGTTCTTTCGGTAAAGTCACGTAGAAGGGAAACGATAAAATAATATGAAACAATCAAATTCTCACGATGTTTCGACTGCAACACAAGCAATCATCATCAGGTGTGAAAACTGCAGCAAGAAAATGTGCTGTGGTTTTCACACCTGATGATGATTGCTTGTGTTGCAGTCGAAACGTCGTGAGAATTTTATTGTTTTATATTTTTATTATTTCATTGCTTCCCTTCTACGCGACTTTACCGAAAGAACCAAGAATTTCTATTTAAAGCTTTCGTGACTGCAAGGATCCATCCTCCTGGTTCTTTCGGTAAAGTCACATGAGCTACTAACAATAAGTCGCTATACATTACAATGCCATATGGCGAAAAAATGGGTGGCGGTTATTTCTTTTCAACGTTAGCACCACAGACAGCAACGAGCTTTGTTTAGACAGACAAGTCCATCTATGCTCGGCTGATTGGAGAGTATATAGAGTTTATTGATAACATTGATGTAGTTTATATTTTAGTTTTTTTATTAGTTTACTATGTGGTATTCATTATATATAGTGTATACCCAGTTACTTTATGTTAATAGCTCAACTTATTGAAGAATATATTGAGTACATTTATTATATTGATGTAGTTTATACTTAGTTTTTTCACATCGGTTTATTGTATGATAGTTGCAGTCCTTTAGTGTCCATATACTAAATGCCTCTGTTGATATGTAAACTTTGACTTTAACATAGCTATTTCCGTGACCAGTCACATGCTAATCCCTCACATTAACATCATGCTAATCTCCCAGTTACATGATAATTTCTGACTTTAACACCCTGCTGATCCAACACTTTAACACCCTGCTGATCCAACACTTTAACACAGCTATTTCAATGCAAAATTCTCCTGTTTGATATGTAAACTCCTTTGTCAAGGCGCTTTACTTCTCCCACCTAGCTTAAAAGACGCTGCGAATCTTAGCAGCGTTCATTGAAGCGCCGTCGTCCCGACAGTTCTGTTCCTTCACCTGAAGAAGGCTACTTGTGTTGTGGCCGAAACGTCGTGAGAATGTTATTGTCTTATTTTGTTTTATTGTATTATTCTCATTCTACGTGACTTTACCGACAGAACCAGGAGGAGAACCAAGAATATGAAGCCTTTTCTTCTTTCATCAGCCAGAACTAAATGGAGATATATCGACGCCGCCTCATTGAGAGTTAGGTCCCGACGATTGTCCGCAGATCCTCAGTGGACCCAACCTGGTGCTGGGGCAGTGCCACGGGGGAGAATCTCCACGTCCGAACCTGCGACAGCTCCAGCTTGTCGTAGGTATTCTGCTGCTGACGGCGCAGCTTCTCGAGCCGAGCGTAATGGAGAGAGGCATCCATAAGAGAGGTCGTCGTATTTGGGTGTTAGATCGTGTAAACATTTATCAGTATACCAGCACCATCGTAAAAACAAAAACAAAGATTCGCCATATAGACTTAATAGACTGTTGGGGCAAGTGCTGTTCGGTAGCACCTATGAACGCCGGCACGGTTTACAAGGGGGTGGGTGTCCAGCACCACGCCCGGCCGCCTTTGTCTCCCCAGTGGCGATGTTTACTACACACCGCACCAGGTACTGATTTGAGGCCGAGTCGACCTACGGGAGGCTCAGGACCGGTTCAGATAATGGTAACTGGCGTTGGCCGTGAGCGGCAATCGACCTTGGATATCTGCCAGGTTCATAGCGCTGTGTAGTGCTAACTGCTACATTACCGCTCCCCACGAGGAAAGACACATACATACACACCCGCGACAGCTATTTTTTCCCCATTTGAACGTACTGTCCAGACTTGTTGAAATCACAGTTGCTTGGACAGGCCAAAAGATAAAAAAAGCAAAGCAAAAGCAGCCAATAACAAAACGCCCCCCGATTAAAGTTGCGAAAGACAAGAGTCTATGTACGCATGCTTGTGGAAGTAATTTTGCACCGTATATAGCCAATCGCGCTAATCAGAGGTGTGGGGGGGGGGAAGAAAAACAAAAAACAACTAAATCAACAATGAAAAATTATAATTGGTTCTTACCCTTTTGGTAAAGCCGAAATAGTTAGAAACAAAATAAAATAAAACAAATCACGACGTTTCTATCGCAACACAAGCGGTCGTCATCAGGCAAAGGAGTCAGCCTCTAAAGGCAAACTGTTCATCAAGGTTTAGGGATGGGCGTAGCCCAAGTGCATCAACAGAACAAGGAGCATGGACGGTCCACGAGTGCCAATGCAGCAACAATGCCAATTGTTGTTGCTGCTATACACAACACTACCATACACCACTACAACCCTAGCACACTGCATACTACACTCCACGACTTTACTAAATATAAAACGAATTTCTTTAGGACTGCTTGTTGTTGTGTTTAGTTTGTCCTTACCCCGCACCTTCATTTAGTACAGTTGGCTCCGTTGCGGTGCAACAGAAGTTCAACATAATACAGAAACGGCAAGAGAAAGCACGGTGATCCAAAGCAAATTGGCAACTCACCGCATTCTCGATGCGAGTCCTCTGTGCACCTGTTGGTCACATGGAACACAATCAGAAACAGCAACTACACATAGGAATAGGTTTTACCCTTTTAACTGGCACAAAAACTGACACCTTTATTCAAGGCATCATGTTTGCAATAACCACAACACAAGCAGTCAAAATGCAAACAAAAAAGACAACTCTGATAATAATATGCACTGTCCTTGAATTTGATTGGTCCACTCCCGAGACAGCTTTTCTTCGAGCCTAGTCTCCATTGGTGTTGGACCAGAAGACGCCAAAAGGCGTACAACTCAAAAAACAGCGCACTATCAGAGTATTGAGGGCTCGGGGTGAGCATTTACATTATGAGACCTCCTTTGCCAGAAACAAGATATAGGAATAGGTTTTACCCTTTTAACTGGCACAAAAACTGACACATCAAGGACAGTGCATATTATCAGAGTTGTCTTTTTTGTTTGCATTTTGACTGCTTGTGTTGTGGTTATTGCAAACATGATGCCTTGAATAAAGGTGTCAGTTTTTGTGCCAGTTAAAAGGGTAAAACCTATTCCTATATCTTGTTTCTGGCAAAGGAGGTCTCATAAAGCAACTACACAGTCAACATGCACAAACACAGGCATACCCCCCGTTTTACGCCCAGGGTGCGTTTCTGAAAACCAGAATGCATGTAGACATTACTTAAATCGAAGCGCATAGAAGGAATAGTGGATTGTACCGTGGTATAGAACCTACAATTACTCGTAGTATAACCCTATACGTCCTGACTTTTGGGCCACCATGTATAATAACAATAATAGCCATGTGTCTGACTTTTAGGCCACCCTGTAAAATAATAATAATATCCCTACGTGTCCTGACTTTTGGGCCACCCTGTATAATAACAATAATAGCCTTAGGTGTCTTGACTTTTGGGTCACCCTGTATAATAACAATAATAGCCTTTTGTGTCCTGATTTTTGGATCACCTTGCATAATAACAATAATAACCTAATGTGTCCTGACTTTTGGATCGCCCTATATAATAATGTAGGATATTCAAGACAGATGTAATGAGCATGGCTTTGATAACCCGGAAGAGGAAAGCAGCACATAGCTGACAGCAGAGCCTCACAGCCCTCCCTTTGGAGGACGAGCCGGTGACCCCATGACATGCTGAAGGAAAGGCACTACGGGGGACATGATTGCAGGATAGAGAAAAGAGCGGGAGTCGCACACGGAGAGAGAGGGAGATGGCTCTGTACGGGGAGCTGGAGAAGATAAATGAGGGTTGATACCCATCTCCCTCGTGGATTTCATTACAATAACAATAATAACCACACGTCCTGACTTTTGGATCACCCTGTGTAATTCCAATACCCCTATGGTTTGTCCTTACTTTGGATCGCCCTTTGTAATAACAATAAAAACCCTATGTATCGTAACTTTTGGATCACTCTCTACAACGTGAAAAGTTTCACAGCAACAACCCCACCCCCCAGCCCCACCTAATCCCCCCCCCACGTTGTAAATGGCATTGTTAGCCGGTACGCCGACTCGCTCGCTCACGTTTGAAATAAAAAGCCAGAAGGGAGACCGCCAGCACCAAGACCAGGATCGTCACCCCCGACACAGCAGGCGCAATGTACCCGTGAGCTCCATTTTCTGTGAGAGACAATGAGTTAAGGATCAGTTGTTTATTTATACTGCAAGAGGAATCCCGAGTGCTATGAAGCGCTCTTTAACATACATCCAGTTTGAGGGGCGCGGGGGTCAAAATGTTACAATACAGACACTATAGGATTGCAAAGTATAGGGAAGGTAACCATAGCACTTTAAAAAAATTATATGCAAATAAAACTAAACAATGTTTTATCTTACCAGTTAAAGGCCCAGAGCTATTAGCTTCCTTTTCATAAGCTACCTAGCCACTAATGACGGCTCAACGAAGTGGCTTATCACGTGGAAATTTAATCACAGTCAAATACTCTAAAAATCTATCTAAATGTGTGACGTCGCTGATTTTAAATGTGGACAGAAAAACCAGAGGACCCGGAGAAAAATCCACGCGACTATGGGGAGAGAGAGACACGCAGACTCCAAATATACAGCAGCATGCGTCAGGGTTGGGACAAAACGCTCGACCTTCTGCATTTCAGGCAAGGGAGAAAACATCTCCAAGCCACCGTGGCCTCCCTTAGGTAAACAAATAAAGTTCATAAGTTCAAATTGCATAAGTACATCAATTCCCAAGCTTTGGCTATGCAATAAAACAGCAAAAGCAGTCCCGGACCACACCAAGACAACACATAGACCCTCAATAACATTGAGTATAAAACATTTACTATTGATACTACATGAAAAGCATGACAGTTTCCAAATCGCATTGAATGGTTTAGAGTACAGGAAGCATTTGCACATCGTTGGGGGTTACGTTCTTGGAATGTCCAACGAAAGCCAACACCGCGAATATTCGATACTTAAGCCTGACCCAGATAATGGGGGTTAGGCACACAGTAACCCAAACATATAGAGCATTACAATTGAAATAAGTTAATTTGCTCTATGCCAAATAAACTAAAACCAAATCATTTGAAATAAACGTAAAAACGCTGTAAAAACATAAATTCCTGGATAATAAAGAGTAGTACAGGCCGTTCTCCTGTAATGAAGCATGGTGTTTTCATAACGCCAAATTGGATATGATGCAATAATTAATGTATTATAGGGCACACATTTTATTACAATGAATGATATATTAAAAGCGATCGAGCGAACGAAACTACGTTACAGCGCAAGTAGGAATAAGCGGTCATACGGCTGCCTCAGCGGAGCATCATCGTCACACGAGGCATTGGGATGCTTCCCAACACGCTTTAAACTCAGCTTTTGTTCGGCCTGTGCATGCATCATCTCACGTGTTATCACGGACTGTGCTTTACCCCATTGAATGATTTATTTATTTAGCAACGCAATATTTACATAACGTGTTTTTTTTCAGGAACGCCATTACTACTCAAGGAGAATATGCTGTAACTATGCTGTATGCCAAATAAACTAAAAACAACGCAATTGAAATGAAGGTGTTAAAACCCTGTAGACAATAAAGAGTAGTAGTACTTAATGGCTGGAGGATAAAAGCTGGTAAGTCATCGGTCAAGTGAAATAAAACAGGAGGAATTCTCCACAATTCTGGCTATCGCCTGATGAAGCTGGTTGTTGTTGTTTTCATGATCAGCGAAACGTCACTAGCAAACTCAATGTGTAAATGTTGCTGTGGATTTATTCTCCAACACACAACAGCCCGTTAGTGCCGAGCTAGTCACTCATTGGCACGCTCTGTTTACGTGACAAACCTCTTGCCGATTGGCTTTGTCGGGTGGTGGTGGCAGCTTTAATAACACATATACTTACGCGATCTAAACCAAAGAGAAAAGAAAAACAATTTTCTTCTTGGTTCTTTCGGTAAAGTCACGTAGAAGGGAAATAATAAAATAAAAAAATAAAACACAACAAAATAAAATTCTCACGACGTTTCAGCCACAACACAAGCAGCCATCCTCAGGTGAAGAAACAGAACTGTCGGAAAAACAGCGCTCTACGTGACTTTACCGACAGTTCTGGCCAAGCATTGGAGCGCTGCTCTTTACGACAGTCCTGTTTCTTCACCTGAGGATGGCTGCTTGTGTTGTGGCCGAAACGTCGTGAGAATTTTATTTTACGTTTATCACTTTATTATTTCCCTTCGACGTGACTTTACCGAAAGAACCAAGAAGATGAATCCCTGCAGTCACGAAAGTTTTACATCGAAAAACTTTATTACGGATAATATGATCGCGAAAGCCCTCCTACTACGTGTCCAACTAAAAAAAAATATTCGGCTGCAAAAATGTCCCGAACTGACGAATGCGTGAATCACGCCCACGGTTTATCCATGCAAACAAAGGACTCTTCTTCCCCAAACCCCTTCTTACCTGCTGAACGAAGGGGGACATCTTGTTCTGTTGTTGTTGTTGTTGTCTTTGTCGTGGGTGATGTGGCCACTTCGGTGATTTTGTCTAGGCAAGAAAGATATTTTAAAAACCGAATCGCGTTAAAACGACAACTCCCGCTGGAAGATGGCAAAAACCAAAACACAACGGAAGTATTCTTAGTTTTTTCGGTAAAGTCACGTTGAAGAGAAACAACAAAATAATAAAAAAAATATAAAACAGTGAGAATTTTTTATTGTTTTATATATATTTTATTATTTTGTTGTTTCTCTTCAACGTGACTTTACCGAAAAAACTAAGAATATGAATTACTGCAGTCACGAAAGCTTTAAATCAAAAATTTACAACGGAAGTAATTAAAAAAAACAGACCCTAATATCCACGATCAGTATCGTGCCTTGTTGCTATTCCATGGCAATAGAAAATCCAATCAAACCTAAATGTCACGTGATTAAGATTACTTTGGGTTAGATTGTGTCGGTAATACGCCGTTTTTTTTACTGCAACCGGACAAAGCAAATTCCATTCAGTTGTCCACGTGGGCAAACATATTACAATTGATTTGTTCCATCAGGAAATAATATTTAAAAAAACCTAAGCGGTAGTTTGCAATACTTTGCAGGAAATTTGCGGTAGTTTGCACTGCTTTGAGTTACATTCACAGTAGTTTGTGGTAAACCGTGCATTAGCTTACAATACTTCGTAGGTCCTCTCCAGTCATCTACAAAGCAAGCCGATTTCAGGCCCCTGCTGGTCCAATTCCTTTTTGTACGTACATTGAACTTATTCTTAGTTCTTTCGGTAAAGTCACGTTGAAGTGACTTTACCGAAAGAACTAAGGATATGAATTACTGCAGTCACGAAAGCTTTAAATCAAAATTTTACATTGAACTTATTTAGCACCAAACGTAGCCTGCTCAGTATTTGGAGTTTGCGTGTCTCTCTCTCCCTCCCCGATGGTGGTCGTGTTGATTTTTTTCGCCTGGTCCTCCGTTTTTTTTTACCCCCACAGTTTAGAACTAACGCCACGCATTCAAGAGTGTAAAGAAGCTCCTTGGAGGAGTCCATTTATTTAAAAAGTGGAGTCTTTATTCATTTTTATTTTCTAAGTAATTTGTAAATACATCCCTGCGAACTGTCAGCCCCGATGTCTTCCACCTTTGTCGCCCAGCAAACAGCCCTGATGTCTTCCACCTTGTAGTTTCTGGTCCAAGGCAAGCGCACCGAATGGGGTGCCTCGTTCTGGTTTATATACAGTACCGTCTCGGTCCCACCCTTAATTGGACAATGCCCTCCACCATAACTGTGGCATGTCTTTAATAATTATCTCAACGTGCACATATCGCTGTCCCCTGTTCCCAATCATCTAAACGTGTGTATTTAATTAATTATCTATACAGTATCCTATGTCCATCTGTTCTTAATTATCTCCACGTGTACTCTTTAGAATTTATCTACAGTCCCCTACAAGAGTATCTGGCTGCTGATGTACATTTTCACGTGATGATAAGTCACTTCGTTGAACTATAAACTATTTAAAAAGAAAACGATTAACCATTTTTTTTAATTTAATCAGGTAAAGCCCCACTGAGCTGTAAAGCTGTTTTTCAAAAGCGACTGGCCATAAATGATAGCTCAACAAAGTGGCTTTATCATAACGTGGACATTTAACGCACGTTGATTCACTCGACCACGGGGAGATTAGAGAGAAGACACGTACACTCCAAATATACAGCAGGCGCCAGGGTTGGGACCAAACCCACGACCTCCTGTATATCAGGCGAAGTAGTTAACATCTCCTAGCCACCATGGCACCCACCTATCATCTGCGATGGCCAGGTGGCTTCTGAATAGGAGCTACATAGCACAGTGGGACCCTACACCTGGTAAAAAAAAATAGTTTATCCTCTTCTGTTTAAATAATTGATAGCTCAACGAAGTGGCTTATCATCACGTGGACATGTATAGCAATAGCCAAAAATATTCTTCATTGTAAAATGTTGAAGAATAAAACTGGAGGACCCAGAGAAAAAATCTATGCGACCCACCACGGGAAGAAAGAGAGAGAGACGCAGACTCCAAATATACACCAGGCTACGTACACCAGGTAAAATCGTTTATTGTTTTAATAAAAAAAAATGTTTTGCCGCCTACAGGTTTCCTTCAACGGGTCGTAATCGTGCACGGACTCACCTTTGGTGACCGTGAGCATAATGTCGGCGACGCTGAACTCGAATCCACCTCCCTGCCTCCACTCGTGTTGGCACTCGTATTTGCCGGCATCTCCGAGGCTGACGTTGGCGAGGACCAGCGAGGCGTCATCTGGCCTCGACCACAACAGCCGGACGCCCGCTGCCCTTCCCACGTAGTTGGGTCCCAGGCGGCTCAGGTCACTCCCGTTGTGGAGCAGGATGAGCTCGCGATCTTGCATCGATATGATCCTGAACCATGCGACCACCTCGAGGGCGCAGAGCGGAGAGCGGGCGCGGCACAACAGAGTCGCCGTCTCGTGCCGAGCAGAGCGGAGCGACGCATGCTGGGTCCGAACCTCGCAGGCTACAAAAGAGAGAGAGAGCATAGGGGTGGACCACAGAAGACAAACCAAGAACAACGATCCTCTACCCCCCTGTCACCTCCACAACAGTATCGACATATACTGTCACCTCGGGGTGATGCCCCCCCCCCAATCTCCGGAAGCCAAGGCGGCGCCATCACGGAGTCTGGCATTGACCGGGTGCGGTGCACAAGTTGGGCAGTTTGGTGTGGGGTGAGGGTGGTAGTTGACGGGGATGGCCGTGATTGGTGGCAAGTGAGGTCAACAAAAAGTCAGGGCTTATGTAACGATGTCACGGGGCTCCGATTGGAGGGCGCTGCATGAGCCAAGGTGATTGACAGAGGCGGGACCAGATTTTGAGTATTTTATTGAGCGCTTTCCCGTGTACAGGGGAAGGATGATCAGCACAAACCATGACCAAGGGACTCCTGGAGAAAACCAGATGCTGCGAATCACTACTGCAGGGCGGGCGGATCAGTGACTGAAACTGCCGCTGCGTGGATCTGCTCGGAGTGCGGTCGTGAGCGCCAAACCAAGACTGAGCTTATTTCTGCATTGAATGCTGGGAGCCCTGTGCTGCCAATCGGTTTGGGGGGATTTCTGAGGCTGCACGTGATCTGGAGAGTGGATTTGCATACCCTGGGCTTCTGCTGTGTCGCCTTGTCACCCAGGAGTGGAGCGTTCGTGATAATTGGTATAAACGGTCGGCGCGGTGTTCTGTATCTGGGGTCGCTGTGTTGAACTATGCGGTCACGTAAATGTGGGCTATTCCTGTTGCCCGAGAGTTTTGAGGAGCTGATTGTACTTGGATGTCAAGAAATTGTTATCCACCCCAGTTGGTTCACGTTCTTGTGCATAGTGTCAATAGTGCGGAACGAATCAAGGCACAGTTATATACATTCCAAGTCTTGTTAAGATTCCCTGTATTCCGGATCGAGTTATTGTTCATCTTTCTTTCGCCGTTAAAGCATGCATTGGCATCATATAGAAATATTGAGGTAAATGCATGGGAGAGAAAATTAATCCGAATTCCTCTCCTATTGAAAAAAATAAGCAACCCTCACTCCCCGAATAGCCTTAACAGCAGACTGTCTCGGCAAGTCCTGTTAGTAGTGAGTAGCAGCAGCGTCGCCTATGAAGACCAGCACTGTGATACACACGAGTGGGTGGTTGGCCAGCAACACGCACAGATATATAAAAACAAAGATCTCCCGTGTAGCCTGAACATTCTGTCGGGGCAAGTCTAGTGCGTGACGGACTACTCACTATAAAGTGAGTCTAGCGTGAGACCAGACTACTTGCTATAAGGAGAGTCTAGCATGTGATTGACTACTCACTACAACGTGAGTCTAGCATGTGTAGTGTAATAGCGCCGACTGCTGGCCAGCAGCGGCAACTGCGGTAGACAAACAGTACACACGCCGGTGAGCATCTACACGGAGTGTCTGCAGGGCGGAGGAACTGGGGCATGGGTTATGGAAGACCCCATCTGTAAGCCCCTGAAACCTGCTAGTGGTTTCGAGAAGGGAGGCACGGCCAGGGCAGAGCCAGGCCACACCGGGTAGCATAAAAGCAGCTGAGAGCGGGAGCCCAGGGCTGATGGTTCTGGGAGTGGACTCGTCCCGTCGTCGCTGACGTCTTTGCCGCCTACGTCGCTGCCGTCTTCGCTAGATATTGCGCAGCCAGATAGTTGTTGGCTGTCTCGGTCAGCGCCATCAGAGTTACATGGTCAGGGTTGTGTTTAGGCTAGGCTGGACGACTAGGGAGAGTACGAGGGCGAACCTGTGAAGTGTGAAGGTGTTATTTAAAAAGGTGCCTCCTGGAAACCCTTGTCTCCGAATCGCTGATACTACACATGTGACGGACTACCCACCACAACGGGAATAGAGCGTGTGATGGACTACTTGCTATAACATGAGTCTAACGTGTCATGGATTACTCAGTTTAACACCACTTTTATAATCACAGTTTGTGTGTCTCTCTCTCAGCGGTCGCGTGGATTTGAGCAGCTATCATTTGTAATGGGCCAGGTCTCCTTACACCTGGTAAAACAAAAAATAAAATACATTCAAATGAGAGTTGTAGTCATTTCTCAACGCTGTACTAATAGCACACACACAGACACACCACGACTGAGCTCTATAGACTCACCATAATGAACGGACAGCAGCTGTCTGCTCTCAGACTGCACTTCCCCCTCGTCCGAGCCCCACGTCGCCGTGACCAGGTAGAATCCGGAGTCGTATCTCGTGAGGGACTTCACGGAGAGCCAGGACTTGGAGGAGTTTCCGCCGTAGAGCCAGGCTCTGCCTCGGTAGCGTGGGTGCACACGGGCCGAGCCGTTGAACGCCGCGACCTGTAGTGGAGCTTCGGCACTGGTTGTGTCTTTGTCATTGTACCTCGCCTTGACCCACACCACGCTCGCGAGCCTGCACCTTGGAGCCGCGGTTATTTGAGCCGAAAACAGAACCGATCCTCCCACTTCTGTCTGAATGGGCTTTCTGGGCATGGAGATTCTGCAATCTGTAACAATAACAAAGACAAAGATACCCCCCCCCCCACCCCGTGGAGCCTTTAACAGACTGTTGGGGCAAGTGTTGGGGTGGGTGAGTGGGTGGGTGGGTGAGTGTGTGGGTGGATGGGTGAGTGTGTGTGTAGGTGGGTGAGTGTGTGGGTGGATGGGTGAGTGTGTGGGTGGGTGGGTGAGTGGGTGGGTGGTCAAGTGAGATGGAGTCGAGTCCATGGGGTCTAGGGTGTTCTAGAGATGTATCCTCGACCCTCATGTCCCAGTCACCGACGTTTTTTTCCTACTTACAATTTCACACGCATCTGGGCTCGACCAACCTGGATGTCAAATTGTAGTCATTGGCTCTGCATCTACATCAGCAACCGAAATATGTTTTCTTGTCCTTCCCCCACACCTCTGATGAGCACAGTTGGCTACGTACAGTGCCAAATAAGTTCAACATTCATACACTACACTATACACTACACTATACACTACACACTCCACTATACACACTAAACTCTACACTAAATACTACACAAAAGACTACGTTACACAATACGATACACTACTATACGCTACACTACTATACACTACACTACTATACACCAGACGACTATACACTACACCATTATGCTAAATTGAAAATTAATTTAATTAGAACTGCTTATTTTAGTGTTTAGTTTGTTGTCCTTCTCCTGCACCTTCGATTAGCGCGGTTGGCTACATACAGTGCCAGAGAAGTTCAACATGCATACACTACACTATACACTACAATACACACTACACTATACACTACATACTACACTATAAACTACGCTACACACTACACTACATTCATAAACACTACACTACCATACACTACACGATTATACACTACTCATCGTTGTTGTTGTGTACAGGTGGTGTGAAAGAAGTTCACCCCACGTACTGTGTGTACACACATTGCACGTTGCTCATCCCTCGCCACCGAGTTCCCGCGGCGTCCTTACCACTGCGGACAGAGAGGGGCTGAGTGCTCTCGGACTGCCGAATCCCACTGGGCGACCTCCACACGGCCGTGACCGTGTAGTATCCCGAGTCGTATATCGTGAGATTTTTGACGAGGAGCGAGGCGTTGGAGGTGCCTTCGCTGTAGGTCCAGGCTTTTCCCAGGTACTCCGGCTCCACGATGGCCGAGCCGTTGAACGATGCGACCCGCACCCCGTGCCAGCCGTGCGCACCTCTGTCCGCCTTCGGGCTGACGGTCCACGCGGTGCTCTCGAGCGCGAGTTGGCATCTCGGAGGCGTCGTTGTGGCAGCCGAGAACAGGACCGAGCCTTGCGGCGTTTTCTGAATAGTTTCAGCGGGCAAGGAGACACTGCAATCTGCAACAACAACAACAACCAGTATGAATAAACTTAAACAAAAGACAAAGATCGCCCCCGCTATAGCCTTTAACAAGACTGATGGGGCAAGTGCTGTTAGCGAGTAGCAGCAGCGCCTGTGAATGTCGGAAGGGCACACAAGGAGGTGGGTGGACAGTACCATGCCCGGCCGCCTTTGTCTACCCCAGTGCCGATGTTTACTTTGCACCGCGCCAGATAACTCATTCGCGGCTGAGTCGACCTACGGGAAGGGCCTAGTACCAATAAAGATAATAGTCACTGACGGTGTTGTCCGTGAGCGGGAATTGAACGCAGCTCCATCGGGTTCGTAGCGCAGCGCGTCAACTGCTACACTACCGATACACACACATATATATAAATACACTGCCCATTTAGCTTCTGAGAGTGTTGGTGCAAGGACTGATAGCGACCACCTGTTAAGGCGATTGGGGGTGGTGTAGCCAGAAGCAGATGCCCCTTTCTCCATATAGTGCTGATATTTGTACTCATTTAAGGCTGAATTGACCAAGGGGGAGGCCCAGATAAGGTTGATATCTCACAAAGATGTTAGGCCTTGTGAAGAATGGAACTATAGGTTGCTGGGTCTTGTAACAAGATAGACAAATGCTGTTGCCCTGGGGTAATGCAGGGTGGCCGGGGTTACGTGATGTAAGAGGATGGGTGAGCGGTTATGGGAGGAAAATCCACCAACCGCCCCCCCACCCTCAGGAAGCCACCGTGGCATTACAGTCGGGGACTGAATCCACTACCTCCTGGAGGCGAGATAGTAACTACCTCGCCTGGTTTGCAGGAGGTCGTGAGTTCAATCTCGACACTGACAACTGCTGTATATTTGGAGTTTGCGTGTCTCTTTCCCCGCGGTCACATGGCTTTTTTCTCCAAGCCCTCCAGGGTTTCCCTCCACATTTAAAATCAACGTCACGTGTTTAGGTCATTTGGCTGCTGCTATAAATGTCCACGTGATGATGATATCAGCCACTTAAGTGAGCTAACATTTGTGAGGGCACGTCGCTTCTGAAAAAGAGCTACGTAGCTCAGTAGTCGGCCATACCTGGTAAAATCAAATAGTTTGTAGTTTTGTAAAGTATTCACTACCAATATTATCCATCATAGAGGGTTAGATGGCATAAATGTAATTGTGTAGAGGAGTAGTGGGATAACGTCATGTCATCTGTAGAGGAGTGGGGGGGTACTTAAGGGGGCCCCCAGGACGAGAGTGGGGTCGCCGTGGGGAGAGTGAGGTGGTCGCCAAAGGGGAGTGAGAGAGAGGGGAACGAGAGCCTGCATGGAAGACATCCCAGCCACCGCCGAAGAAGGGCTAGAGATGTAGAGGTCTCACTTCGTCGCCGGTCGGTGATGGTTGAGCCCGCGCCCGGGGCAGACGAGGTGATAGACATAGGGGAAACCATACCGGGGCATATATAGCTGAGGGATATCCGCGTAAAGGTCAGAGTTCTGACGTGCACCATGACGGGTCTAAGCATCGAGTGTTGAGAGTGTAAACAGAGTGTAAAGGTGTAAGAGTGTGAATAAACAGAAAGCAGCCCAATGTAAGAATCCTCGTCTCCGTCTGGCTCTACAAGTCTCCTGGGTGTCAAGAGTTACTACACAACATTTGGTGTCGGAAGTGGCCATCGAACCTTCGCTGCTTAAATTCAAGGAAGCTGGAACCCTTCGCTGGCGTGGTGGGAAAGCCGGCAGCGGAGTGCAAGACCAAACCTGAGGAGCAGATGGACGGCGAGGGCTGCACCAGAGCTCTCCCTGCGACGACCCCGGAGTCTGGGGCCCTGGTGATGTGCCCCGGGGGGAGGGCGACTGCAGCCTGCGTGGGAGAAGGCTGTGGGCCCAGACTGGCCGCCATCGACGGAGAGCTGGGGCGACGTCGCCGGCCGACTCGACCAGCTGCTGGTGTCGAGGGAGCGGCCGGGTGTGGGTGAGTCGATGGCGGAGCTGCAGGGGAACGCGGCCGCCGTCGGGTCACTGCGGGCGTTCCGGCCTTCCCCGCGGCTGCGGCGTTCCCGCCATCCCCGCGGGTGAGGGTGTTCCCGCCATTTTCGCCGCGGCGGTGTTCCCGCCATTTGGCGCGCGGCTGCGACGCGGCCATCGGCCGCTATTGTTGCCGCGGGAACCCGGCGACTGCAAGTGGGGTGTGCCTCCCACGTTGTAATTGTGAAGAGGTGTGCTCCGACATCTGGAGCCTGGGGAGCCGCCTGCTTCGTGCTGGTGGGGTGAGCCGGCACGCAGGAGAGCGCACCGCCACTGCGCGATGGGCCTGCTGCTTTTACTGGGGGTGCAGGCCACGTCGGTGGTGTGACGGGCACAGCGGGAGATTGCTTCGGGGGACTTTGCAACGTCCGCCGTCAAGTGTTGTGTTCCTCGCTGATGTTCTTCCCTCCTTGGTTTTTTTGGCATTTATTGGATTGTTGGGGGTGTTATTTTGTTGTTACAGTGTTGTTGTGTAGTGGCTATAGGGATGTTAGCTTGGGGGTTTTAGTGATATGACGTATTGCTGTTTTTTGTTGTTCGTCGTTGGGGTCGTCTAGATTGTTTTGTTCATTTTATAAGGGGATGTTGACAGCCGGGACGGCTGATTTTTCTTCACAGGGGGGGGGGTGATGTAGAGGAGTAGTGGGATGACGTAATGTCATCTGTAGAGGAGTGGGATGACGTGATGTGATGACGTAATGTCATCGAGGCAGCAGGGTACTTAAGGGGGACCCCAGGACGAGAGCGGGGTCGCTGTGGAGAGAGTAAAGTGGTCGCCATAGGGGAGTGAGAGAGAGGGGAACGAGAGCCTGCATGGAAGACATCCCAGCCACCGCCGAAGAAGGGCTAGATATGTAGAGGTCTCACCTCGTCGCCGGGCGGTGATACGTTATAGCCCCAGCCCGGGGCAGACGAGGTGATAGACATAGGAGAAGCCGTACCGGGGCGTAGATAGCAGAGGGATGTCCGCGTAAAGGTCAGAGTTCTGACGTGCACCATGACGAGTGTAAGCGTCGAGAGTAGAGAGTGTGAACAGAGTGTGTAAGAGTGTGTAAGAGTGTGAATAAACGGCAAGCAGCCCTATGTAAAAATCCTCGTCTCGATCTGGCTCTACAGGTCTCCTGGGTGTCAAGAGTTACTACACTACAAATGTATAAACCCGCCACCACCACCCGAAACAGGCAATCAGTAAGCGGTTTGTCACGTAACACAAAACGTGGCCAAATAGTTTACTAGTTCAGAACTAACCGGTTGTTGTTGTGTTGGAAAGTTAAACCTACAGTAACATTTACAAATTCGAGTTGCTGGTGATGTTACGCCAGTGATTACAACAACAAACAGCAGTCTCATCAGGCGACAGTCAATAACTCTCCAACACGCAACAACCAGTGAGTGTTGACAGTAAAGGAAGTGGATTGTTGTGTTTTAAGTAACATACCCCTTACTGATTGGCTGTCGGGTGGTGGTGTGTGTGTTTAACGACGCATTTATATTTCTACATCTAAATAAAATAAAAAAACAACCTTTTATTACGGTTAAAATTGACCGTGAAAGCCCTCCTACATGTCAAACTAAAAAATATTCGGCTGCAAAATGGCCCAAACTAACGAATGCATGAATCACGCCCACGCTTTTTCCATGCTAATAAACGACTCTTCTTCCCCAAACCTGTTATTACCTCTTTGGTTTTTTCGGTAAAGTCACGTAGAAATAATAAAAAATAAAATAATATAATAGCATATGACGTTTCGATCGCAACACAAGCAATCATCAACAGGTAGAGGAAACATATAACCGCAGACAGACCTTAAGTAGGGAGAATTAACACAGATATACCAAGGGATACAGAGAGACGGAACATCACACTAAATCAAACAGGGTATAGCAAAATTTGGAAACTATATAAAGCAACACAAACGGTCAGTTAAAACACAATCAACGCATGGTTTGGTTGAATACGCTGTTTCAAAGATTGTGAAATTGTAAGTTAAGTGTGAAATTTAAGATAGTGATAGAATACTTACCGTAGAGAGACCTTTGGGGGGGAGACACGCGCACAGTTAAGGGGTAAAGTAAATCTGTCCCGAGGCTTTAAGAAGGCCAGCGATGTAGGAGGGCTAAGGCTTATAGACAATGGGACACAAATTTGCATGATATAAGTTGTCAGGCACACAGTTGTCAGGCACCGGGCGCAGCAGCGCACACTTAGAGGTCCCCAGGCAGGAACCGGGCGCAGCAGCGCACACTTAGAGGTCCCCAGGCACACAACCATAGGTAGAGACAACACAGCGACACAGAAACACAAAGAATAGCATACGACGTAGACACACCAGCAGAGAAACACAAAGACAACAGATCTCATACCTTCCCGTAAAGGTGGTTCGAACTTGATTAGGCGCTTTCGTGCCTGCATGAATTACTCTTTGGTTTTTTTCGGTAAAGTCACGTAGAAATATTTTTTTATATATATAATAGCATACGACGTTTCGATTAATTCTCCCTACTTAAGGTCTGTCTGGGGTTATATGTTTCCTTTACCTGATGATGATTGCTTGTGTTGCGATCGAAACGTCGTATGCTATTATATAATTTTATTTTTTTATTATTTTTTATTATTTCTACGTGACTTTACCGAAAAAAAACAAAGAGTAATTCCTGCAGTCACGAAAGCGCCTAATCAAGTTCTGTCCTTACCTGTTGGACGAAGGGGAATATCTCTTCTGTTGCTATTGTTGTAATATTGCTGTAATATTGTAGTGACAGGGTGCCATATGTTGACCATGGGGGCTAACTACGGGTATGGGTGCGTTATAAAATGGCACACATATAGGCAACCATAAGGGGGCGCGTAACTCGGCCAAGGGTCCAGGCGGGGATGAATCGGGAAGCTCCTGGAACCGGCGAGAGAGTTCCAGAAGTAGGGCGTGGCCAGGGGCAGGGCTTGGCCAAAATGGAGGGATATAAGTGAGAGGCAAATGGAGGTTCGGGTCTTGGCTTTCATCGCCGTCATCGCTGCCATCTCTTCGTTGTCGTCGTCGCTGCGTAGCTGGCCAGCTCTACAGCCCTCATCATCGTCGTCACTCTATAGTCAGGCAGCTATACAGTGTGTGGCGAAGCTTCGTCGCATTGTTACAGCCCTGCTTGTATAAACCACTCCGTCTCTCTGACCCGGTTCGACATGACCATGGGGATTCTGATTGTGACGCAACACCACCGCCGCCACAAACACCACCCACCACCACCCTGCCACCACAACCATTCACCACAACCATTCACCACCACCATTCACCACCACCACCCATCACCATCCACAACTAACACCCACCACCACCATTACCACTGCCAACCACCACCATCCACCTCCACTGCCCACCACCACCATCATCCACCCAACACCACCATTCACCACCCACCACCCCAGAACCACCAGCATCCACCACCACCCGCCACCACCTACCACCACCATTCACCACCACCATTCACCATCAACCACCACCACCCACCATCACCATTCACCACCACCACCGACCACCACCAACTACCAGCACCACCCGCCACCACCAACCACCACCATCGTTATTATTACAGGCATGCAGAGTAAATTTAAAGTTTGTAGGAGAACCCCTTGACGACCCCTGTTAATGACGAATCGTTTAACGATGGGCCTCCATAGAGCCCGATGCATAGTGTATAGTGTCGTGTGTAGTAGTGTGGTGTATAGCAGGTTATTGCATAGTTGTGTATAGTGTAGTTTATAGTAGTGTAGTGTATAGTCTAGTGTATAGTAGTATATAGTGTAGTATACAGTAGTGTAAAGTGTAGAGTAATGTACAGAAGAATAGTGTAGAATAGTGTATAGTAGTGTATAGCAGTGTAGTAGTGTATATTAGTGTATTAGTGAATAGTAATCTATATTAGTGTAGTAGTGTATAGTATAGTGTAGAGTAGTGTAGTAATGTATAGTGGTATAGTACTATACAGCAGTGTAGTAGAGTATAGTAGTGTATAGTAGTGTAGTAGCGTAGTGGTGTATAGTAGTGTATAGTGTAGTGTATAGTAGTGTAGTGAATAGCAGTGCATAGCGTAGTGTATAGTAGCATAGTTTATAGTAGTGTAGTGTATAGTGTAGTGTATAGTGTAGTGTATAGTAGTGTAGTGAATAGCAGTGCATAGCGTAGTGTATAGTAGCATAGAATGAGAATAAAATAATAAATTGATAAAATAAAATAACACAATAATATTCTCACAACACAAGCGGCCTTCATCAGGTGAAGGGGCGAGACTGTCTGGTAGGACAGCGCTGGAGTGAAAGAGCCACGTTCAGATCACGGCCTTTAAGCTGTGTGAGAGGAACAAAGCGCCTTGACAAAGGAATTAGCATATAATTTAGCATTGAAATGGCTGAATGATTAGCTTGTGACTGTGTGTAGTGTGTAGTGTATAGCAGTGTACAGTGTAGCAGTGCTGGAGTCTGTCGCCAGGGAAATTGAGGTCTCGACCACACTACTCAACACGCTGCAGCAGTTGCGACCCTCACCAGGGCAAGCGGTCTGAGAAACGAACGAACGGACGAAGAATTGTTGATTTAAAGCTTTCGTGACTGCAGTAATTCATATTCTTAGCTCTTTCGGTAAAGTCACTTTCGGTAAAGTGACGTTGAATACGAACGGACGAAGCTTAACGGCCAAATCACTTAAACGACCGGTTTCGTGGAACCAATCGCCGTCGCCAAGGGGAGGGGGTTCTGCTGTGCTCAGGTTCAGTTGCGCCGAATACAATGCGCCGCATTGGAGCTCCTTTACAAGTGTATAGGGTAGTGCGTTGTATTCGGCGCTTGGTGGATTAACAGGCCAGCTGAGTGAAGCGTCGACGAGTCTGACCGTGGGCATGGCTCCCCCTAACCCCGTGTTTCCCATAGGGCTACCCCCACCCCCTCCCCTGCACTTTATCAACCACGGAGTTCATACCTGTCAAACCTCTCACCTTATTACAGACCAATTAAGACCTTATTGGTCACCCCGTGCCCCTTATAAATCTCAACGTTCATCCTACAAAGTCCCATCGCAAGGGTTAAACAGACACATAGACGCAACATTTGTTTTTTTATTGCCCGTATTGAAACGGCTGTACGCCGTCTGCATCCGACAACTCAATTTCCCTTCTTCTTTGGTTCTTTCGGTAAAGTCACGTAGAATGAGAATAAAATAATAAATTGATATAATAAAATAACACAATAATATTTTTTTATCAATTTATTATTTTATTCTCATTCTACGTGACTTTACCGAAAGAACCAAAGAAGATGAATCATTGCAGTCACGAAAGATTTAAATCGAAATTCAATTTCCCTTGTACATGATTAAGGGGTAAACCGTATGGGTTGACAGGTATGGTATTTGCCTACCGTGGAATTTCCCAGGAACCTACCCCCCCCCACTCCTCTCGCGGTTGGCGAGTGATCGCTCTACCTTCTAGGGGAATGGAGGGGGGGGGGGGCAATGGCTCCCCCTCTTCATGTCAATAAATACGATCGAACTTCCATGCATTTCCGTGGACGTCTGAAAAAATATGAAACGCGCCAGAATCGCTACCGAGTATGCAGTAAAGTGTAAAATAAAACGACAGTCAAACAAAATTACCACACGCGGTTTGTCAAGCACTGGATGCAATAAAATGAAAAGCTCCGTTTCCGGTGAAGGTGTCATTCGGTTATGCACCGTGTTCATTGAGAATGGACCTACGCCCTTTCTGAGATAGCGATCGAGGCAATGGTTTATTTGCTTCAACACGAGGGTGGGTGAGTGAATGGATAGGTGAGTAGATGGGTGGGTGGGTAGGTGAGTCGATGGGTGGGTGGGCGGGTGGGTAGGTGAGTCGATGGGTGAGTGGGGGAATGGGTGGGTGAGAGAGTTAGTGGGTGAGTGAGTGAATGAATGGGGGAGTGATGGGTGAGTGAGTGGGTGATTGGGTGAGTGGGTAGGTTGAGTGAGTAGGTGGGCGAGTTAGTGAGTGGATAGCTGAGTGGGTGGGTGAATGGGTGGGTGAGTGGGTGGGTGAATGGGTGGGTGGGTGGGTGAGTGGGTGGGTGAATGGGTGGTTGGGTGGGTGAATGGGTGGGTGGGTGAATGCGTGGGTGGGTGAATGGGTGGGTGGGTGAATGCGTGGGTGGGTGAATGGGTGGGTGGGTGAATGCGTGGGTGGGTGAATGGGTGGGTGGGTGAATGGGTGGGTGGGTGGGTGAATGGGTGGGTGGGTGGGTGAGTGGGTGGGTGAATGGGTGGGTGGGTGAATGGGTGGGTGGGTGAATGCGTGGGTGGGTGAATGGGTGGGTGGGTGGGTGAATGCGTGGGTGGGTGAATGGGTGGGTGGGTGAATGGGTGGGTGGGTGAATGGGTGGGTGGGTGGGTGAATGGGTGGGTGGGTGAATGGGTGGGTGGGTGAATGGGTGAGTGGGTGATTGGGTGGGTGAGTGGGTGGGTGAGTGGGTGGGTGAGTGGGTGGGTGATTGGGTGGGTGAGTGGGTGGGTGAATGGGTGGGTGCTTGGGTAGGTGCTTGGGTGGAAGAGTGTGTGGATAGGTGATTGGGTGGGAGAGTGAGTGCGTGGGTGAGCAGGTGAGTGTGTAAATAACCATAGCCATCATAACTACAACCACGTTATAACCACAACCAATACGGCACATAACCTCAACGGCCGCCAATATAATCACAGCCAAAACTGCATCATAACCACAAACTTAACCACGTTATGAACTGAGCAAGCAAAACTACCACAGTATAATAACATCACCACAGCAGGCAGAATGCAACCACAATAACCTGATTTGTGTGCTGTCCTCGTGCCGTGGTCTGGCGCTGTTGTTGTTGTCGTTTTTGCTGCATTTCCCCACTAAGCACCCATACTGTAGCAGTGTTGCAAAATCGGCAGGGAATGTGAGCGAGTGCTTGTGCAATGTGTACTGATTTGTCAAACTTATTAATTTATTTAAGTTTAGTTACTTCAAATCATATTCTGAAGCAGAATATTTGTGCTCCACATTTAAGAAGCAATATCACCACGCGGTTTCGAAGATTCGCCTGGTGAATTTCGATTTAAAGCTTTCGTGACTGCAAGGATTCATCTTCTTTGGTTCTTTCGGTAAAGTCACGTAGAATGAGAATAAAATAATAAAATAAAATATTTTATTTTATTAAGAACGTTCGCCTGGTGCTATAAATTCACGCACGACGACGATTATATTAGCAGCTACTTGCTTGAGCAGCGATCAGTTGTGACAGCCGGATCCGTTTCTGAAAAAGATCCACGCAATAGCTCAGTGGGGCCTTACCTGGTACAATGATGAACATAGTTTAGTTTCAGTATGGGTCTCGAATAGTATTTGTCTCTGTGGTGCTATATTGTTCTCTACGAGTGTTTGGATCTTTGTGGGTCTCTATGGGTCTCTATGATTACGGGT